TGCCTCTGACAGATTGGTACATGCAGAAGACTGCAAATGAGACTGCCAAGCTGTTGACAGAGCCTTCACTAAAGGACAAACTATTGGTTTAGCTGGCAATGGCCACATTTGTCAGCTCGAATCACAGCAGGGGCGGTTTCTGCATTTCAGCCTTTGCTGGGACTTGGTGGAGAAACATCAAGCCTGCTCTGTACCAGCAAGTGTTTGGGATAACAGAATCACTGTGCAAGTCCTGCACACTCCTGTCTCCTCCTAGCACCAGACTTGTGTCTCCCCATGTCTCAGCCCCCAAAACCAAACACCTGTCCAGCCCTAAGCTCACTCTTGTCCACATTGCCAAAATCCACAGTTTCGGGCTCTGGGTTACACCTGGCAGAAAGTCATTTGCCTCAATCACATTTAAGGAGCAAATCACCTTTCCTCTCATTGCACCCTGCAAGAACAGACAGTAAATTGTGGTGCAACTTCTCCTTCCCCACCCTGAGTTACAACACACTGTTTCCAAACAGGGCCAGGGGAGTCAGGGACAGTGATGTGGAGACACCTGGCTGGAGACCTGGGCTTCCAGCACACCTGGGCAGGGCCACCTGTCAGCACAGCTCTGGCTACAGCAGCACAGAGCTTCATCCATGCCAGCAACTTCCTCAGAACCCCAAAAATCAGCGGATGCCCAGGAGGAAGGAGGCAGCAGCTGGCTGCTGCTGCTGGCCAGGGAGTGCTTCCTCAGGAAACACAGGGACAGGGGCTGGAGAGGCACAGGAGAAACACGAGGTCGTGTGATGTCCTGCTGCAGCTCTCTGGGTGCTCCAGGGAAGGCAGGGGAGGGTCAGGACACAAAGGCACCACTTAATGAGCTTTCACCAGGCACAGAAAGAACAAAGCCACAGGTAAAGATCAAAAGCTGCTCCCTGGAAAGCCAGAGGAATTTAAAGGGAAATCTTGCTTTGATCCTGCAGAACACCTGTTGTTCAGTACTGCCTGCATGTGCAGGTGGATGGTGCTGCAGGTACACACAGGCTTGGGAAGAGGAAACCAAAAAAAGACAAAAGGTTTGGAATACAGTGTCCTGCCAGCTGAGAAATTCAGTCTGTTGGACTTGCCTTGCAGAATCAGAAACCAGAGACCACTGCAGTGCTGCAGACAGTAGCCAGACACACTGTGATATATAAATATCACCAGGAAACTCAATCCTTTCACTGTTCTCACAGGCCAGGGAATTCTTTGTAGCTTTGGTTGCAGGATTAATGAAAAACAGATGCAAGTCACAGGACAGTTTCAGGGAGGGTGACAAGAGTTATCTGGGCCAGGGAAAGAGATAGCCAAGGGAAGATAAAAGTGAGGGAAATGTATTAAAAGTCTTCACACATGGGAACTGTCACTGCCAAAGAAAGGAAGAGCTGTCGATGAAGGATGGGGGAAACTGTGCAGTTGAAGGCAGTTGAACTGTGGCAAGGAATATCTAGTTTTGTCATTCCAGCAGCTGGGACAATGGTGCTCCAGAACAGGGAACCCCAAGGGGCCATTTTCATCACTGGGGTTTCAAAGGCCTCAGAAATAAATACCCAGTCAGTCCCAGTGGGGACCAGGTGCTGGGCTGGACCTCTGAAGGTCATCTGTAGTGGTACAACCCCAAAAGTCCCTGAAACTCCACTTGGGAAAGTGCTCCTCCTTCCTAAAAGAGAGGAGCTCATACAACACAAAGCAGCAAATAACAGAGACCAAATCTGCAGGGTTTGCTCTATTCTCAGCCCTTTTCCACGTGGGACAACATCTGCACACACAGTCCATGGGGCCTGGGTTGTGGGGAGAGGCAGAAACTGCTGCTGCTTCTTGTGTGTGCTTGGGAAAGCAGCAGGAACCGTCCCACAGCTCAGGCAGCAGTAAATCAGCACCATTCAAAAAACCCCATTTTTCATATTAATTTTGTATTTATCTGCTGATCTGAAGGGATTCTTCTCAGTGTGGCAGAGCCAGCTCAGCTCTCCAGAAGCTGAAGCACTGCGTTAGCTGATAAGCTCTTGCTGAGTGCCAATATTTATTAAGCACACACACATTTTCTTCTCCCACACATCAACTGTTGCCACTAAAAATCTTCACTCCAGCTCCTGTGTCTGTTCACACAGCCCTGGCTGCTCTCCCAGTCGGTGCCAGCACTTCTCAGCTTCATGAGTGAGAAAGTGCTGGGGAGCCAATTGCTGAAATCGCCCGCGGAGCCTCTTCCCCAGAGCCTGTCCAGTTCCAGCCAGCAGCACCCAGAGCGGCTCCCAGAGCTGCCCTTCCCTCCTCAGGAACCCATCCACAGGATCCTGTTTGCCTTGGCAATCACACCTCACCTGGCACCTGCTGCTGGACCAAATGCTGCTGGGGATTCCTGTATCCCGCTTCTGGCACAGCCAGCCCATCTCCGGCGGTGCTGGCACCGGGGGCACCCGCAGCACCCCCGCTCCTCTCCCTGGGGAGCCCAGCCCGGAGCAGAGCCCAGCTGCAGCCCCCAGCTCCCAGTGCTGAGCCCCCTGGCTCCCAGGGCTCATCCGCTGGGCGAGACTTCCAGAGCTTTACAGGCCACAGAAGCCGCGTTGTGGGGCTCTGGAAGTGAAATGTGAGACCTGCAGCGTGTCTGGGCACGGCCGAGAAACACGAGCTGTCAAACAGCAGCACCACGTTTGGGTATGAAATGTCTTCGGGAGGAAAAACGCGACAGGCTCGTTTTCGTTCTTGCCCTTAATAACTTGAATTTAATTTTACATATTCAAGGAGTGCACAGTCGCTGTGGTGGTGGGGCTCAGACACAAATTCCTGCCTCCTTCCCCTCCTGGGAACAGCAAATGCTGGGTCTGGAACTCTCAAGCACAGAGCGAGCGGAGCACGGCAGCCTGGAGTCAGGACTCAGCTGCCTCCCAGTCCTCCGAGGGGATCTGCTGTGCCACTCTGAGCTGCTCACTCACTTCATCTCTACTCCTCCACAAGCACATGAGAGCCCTTGTACGACCTTCCCTTTGTATTGATACCTCGACTTTGGAAATGAAAAGAGAAAAGCTTTCCAAACTCCTCGCCATGCTGGAGCCGGTTAAGAGGATCCAGCCAAATCAAGGAAAAGCATTTACCATGGGGAGCCACTCTGAAGTCATCCCATCTCATGGGGAGAATTATGTAGGTCACCAAAAGTCTTTCATTGCTGCTCTGCTGGAGCAGCAGTGGCTCACGGAGCAAAGAGAAGGGAACAGCCAAAATCTCCCCAACTCCAAATGCAGTCACTAGAGTGGGACAGATTTCACCCAGATGAATCTCGGCTGAGCAGGTAAAAAAGGGGCAGCAGCCTGAATCCTGCAAGGCTGTGACTCAAGAGATGAAAAAAGGGAAAGGGACTGCTATGTCAGGCTGGCTGCTCTCAGCCACACCTGCTCAAGCATTAGAAAGCAAACAAAAAGCCAACAAAATGCAAACAAAACTCACCCATCCCCAGCACCAAACTGTGTGTGCCACATGTCCCTCCGTCCCTGGTTTACCAGCTTTTCATGTCACTTATCTGCACTGCTCGGGCCACAGGAAACGCTTTAATGACTTTAATGACTTCTTATTTCCAACATCCTGTTGCTGTGTCCTGATAACACTCTCAGGACTCAAAAAACAGCAGCTCAAACCCCAGGAGTCTGGATCACAGCTCAGTGGATGAGCTGACTGCAAACTCTGTTTTGAGTATGACAAACATCAGACCACGCATCATCTCTGCCCCTCGGACACCCTGGACTTCCATCTTTCCTCCTATTCCGAGTAGCAACTAAGAACAAAACACCTCTGCAAGTCAAGCTCCCAGCCTGAGATCGGAAAAGGCAGATGTCCCAAATGAAGCAGCCAAGTTATTTTACAGTGCCAGCAGCACGGAGAGCAAAGCAGCACCCCAAAACCCCTGCCTGCAGCATCCCGAGACCGCTCATCAAACCACCTCCAGCCATCCCCCATCCACCTCCTCCGCAGGTAACACGGCTCAGGTTGATGTTGGGGTCACCTGGGACAAGACCATGTCCCCAAAAGGAAGGAAAACATTGAAATACCCCAAGCTGCACGGAGCCATACCGAAATAACAGAAGAGAAAGTTTAAGGACTATTTAGATTTCCCCCGGGCAGCATCCTCACCCCCGGGCAGCATCCCGTTCTCCCGGGAGCATCCCGACCCCGGGCAGCATCCCGACCCCGGGCAGCATCCCGACCCCGGGCAGCATCCCGACCCCGGGCAGCATCCCGATCCCCGGGAGCATCCCGATCCCCGGGCAGCATCCCGACCCCGGGAGCATCCCGACCCCGGGCAGCATCCCGACCCCGGGCAGCATCCCGACCCCGGGCAGCATCCCGATTCCCGGGAGCATCCCGATCCCCGGGCAGCATCCCGATCCCCGGGAGCATCCCGCTCTCCCGGAGCACCCGCCTGATCCCGCCGCCCTCCGCGGGGCTCCGGCGTGGGAAGGGCGGACAAAGAACGGGATCAAACACGGACCTGCCCAGGTACCGGCAGGATCCCGGTACCGGGCCCGGGGGTCCCGGGGCAGCGCTCCAGGATCACCGGGCCGCTCTACCCCCCGCCGCCCCCAGCCCGGCGCGGCCCCGCTTTACCGGCACAGACGAGCCCCGGGAAGCTCCCGGCGCTGTCCAGCCCGGGGCGGGCTCGGAGCCGCCGCCGCCGCCGCTCCCGGCCCTGCTCGGGGCCGCTGCCACCGCCCGCCCGCTCCGCCCGGCCCCTGGGGCTGTGCCCGCCTGGCGGCCCCGCCCGTCCGGCCGGCCCGGAGCTGCCCGGCCCGGGGAGAGCACAGCGGGACCCGCCCGGTGCCGGTACCGGGCCCGCGGGCGGAACCGGGGCTGCCGGGGGACGGAGCGTGGCCCGAACCCCCCCGCGCGCCGGGGATGGTGCGAGCCGAGCCCCCCGCCCCCTCCCCCCCGCGGGCCGCGGTGGTGCGGCCCGGCCGGTCACGTGAGCGGGTGTTGATGCGTTGCCTGGCAACGGGAACATGGCGGAGCCGCCGCGGGTGAGTCGGGGCCGGACCGGGCCGGTACCGGTACCGGTATCGCTACCGCCACCGCCCGGTACTGCCCGGTACTGCTCGGTACTGCCCGGTATTGCTCGGTACTGCTCGGTGCTGCCCGGTACTGCCCGCCCGGGGCTCCTCTGCCGTCCCGCATTGTGCTATTCCATCCCATCCTGCGCCAGTACCGCCCGTCCCGTCCCGTACTGTCCCGTCCCGTACTGTCCCGTCCCGTACTGTCCCGTCCCGTACTGTCCCGGCCCGTCCCGGTTCCGGCCCCTCCACCACGGCCCGCTCCGTGTTCCACAGAAGCCCGGCACTGCCCGTCCTCTCCACCGCCGGCCCGGTACCGTCCGGCACCCCCCGGTACCTCCCGGCTCCCCGGTGCGTGCCCCGAGCCTGCTGCTCACCCTCTCTTTAAAAAGAGAGAGAGAAGAACAAGAGTAATTTATCTACATGTTGTGCTAGCTGGAAGAATTTTTTTAATAAATCTGTAAGGACTTTTTTAATAGATGTGAACTAGAAGCACGTGAAAGTATAAATGGTGTGGAGAAGTTTAGTCAGGATCTTTACGATTTCAGTGCTTGCTGGGTGACTGTTTTTGTAAATGAGATCAAACTTCTAAATTAAACTTCTGCACCCCGTGGCAAAAAACACCATAACATTAAAATTAAATGCAAACGGCAATGTGCTGCTCTGCTTTTCACCTGTGCTGTGTGCCAGGCCATGGAAGCAGAGGATGGCAATGGCAATGGAGAGTGTTCCCCTGGAGCAGAGTCATTGTCCCTGCAGGAGGAGAAGTTCGAGGGGTCTGCAGAAGTGGGAAAAGTAATTAATTATATTTTGGGTGCATCTCTGTGCTGGCTTTAGGGCCAGGCCCTTGTGTTGATCCGTTGTTTGCATTGTTCATGTCTCGTGGCAAAAGTGAGCAGATGTTTAGGGGAAAATGGAAAAGGTGATGGGTTTTATGTTTCAGGAAAAATCACCTGAGACTTTCCCAGATAATGCAGAATGTGACAAATTTGTCCTCCTGAACAGGGTGAGATGGAGCAGCCACTTGCAGGTGGAGGAGCCCCTTCCCTTCCCTCAGGAGCACCTGCAGCAGAGCCGGCCACAGGCACCAGGCCAGGTATGCCCCTTTGCAACATCTCTCAAGCACAGCCTCTGGTTTTCTCCCTCTCGTTAATCCAACCAGAGGCACAATGCTATGAAATCTAATCCTGTTGCTTTATCTTTTTCCTTTTTTGTGGTGGGGTGGGGTCCAGGGAGCAAAGGACGACCCAGTTCTCGCCATGGAGAGCCAACCTTTGAGCTCCCCAGTGATCATGGCAACCAAAGCGGGGAAAAGGCAGCTGAGAAACAGGAGACAAGAAAAAGGAGGGGGAAAAGAGCAGGAGAAACAGAACTGCTCATCTTGGATCCAGAACATGTGAGAAGTCTTCAAATCTTGCTGTTCTTTGCAGAGTTGGTGTTTGTGTTTCTCTGAAATGTGAGGTGAGCTGTAAGCAGTGGCTCAGCTGTTCAGCTGCACGTGTGAAAATCAGCTTTGCCAAAGTATTGACTGCTGACTGTGTCACTCAGTCCTGACCCCAGAGCTGCAGGTTCAGAAGTGAGCAATGGGTAAATCCCATTCACTGCTCCTGGAAGAGGATTCCTTGCAGCAAGAGTGAGGGGTGGGTTCTCTGATGTAGCTCTTCTGGCACAGTTCTGATTTTAAAATACTCTCACTTTCTGGCATCAGCAAATACCCACTCTGTAGCATCTCTCACTTGCTACAGTGAGTGTAGCTAAAATAAGCACCCAAGTGTCTGTGGCAGAAATAAGATGTTTTATTGGGTGGGGGATGTAGCAGTGAGGCTTCTTCATCATCTCTTTACACAAGTATGTTAAAGCTTATTAATACTGTTCTCCTTTACAGCCTCTGATGACAAGATTCCAGGCTGCCCTGAAGAATTACCTCACCAAGCAGATAGAACAAGTGAACCTAGAGCTCCGTGAACTGGTACACAGCCTCTCCTTTGCCTTCCCACACCCCTCCTCTCCAAGCTGCTGCCAGACAGCTCCTTCCCTCTTGTGTCTGCAGAGGACAGCAATGAAAACCAGCAAAGAGCAGAGAGAAGAGCTCGGGGTGATCCTTTATGGGGCCCAGCAGCAGCTGGGGCAGCTGGAGGTGGAGCTGGAGAAGAGCCACGAGCGCTGTTCCCAGGCGGCCGCAGCGCGGCAGCAGCTGGAGGCAGAACTGCAGGGCCTCAGGGGTGCTCACAAGGAAATATGTCACAACACGGATGATGAACGCAAGAAAGGTGACCAAGGCAGTCCTGGCACTGTTTCCCAATTCCAGGGCTGCGTGGAGAAATTAATTGGAATTTAAGTCAAGCACTGGATAGAAAAATGTGGCAGAATAACTAATAGGGAATAATGTGCTCGTTGAAAAGCGTCACAGATTCTCCTGGAATTCTGTGAGCTGGGAATCCTGAAATTGCTTGTCAGGATCTTTAGCTTTGCTTGTGGAGCTGTACTCCAAAGCTGATGTAAATATGTATGCTGGGGAGGGCTGGCTTAGCTGGTGTGTGAGAGGTTTTGCTTTGGGAGCTTCTGTATTTCTTTCCCTTTTTTCTCTGTTTAAGGGGTACCCTACAAAAACAAGTTTCTCTGTAATGATTTTGCCTCTTGTCCCCCCAGTTTCCGCAATGCAGACCCAGATTGAAAACCTGGCCTTGGAGCTCTTCTACGTGCAGAACATGGACCAGGACATGCATCACAGGCTTTTGCTGATGAAACAGTCAGCCAGGAGGGCTGAGGCAGAGAGGATCCAGGCTGAGGTGGAAAAGAAAAAACAGGTACCAAGAAAAACTGTCTTTGAAATAAATAGATGCAGGTACCAGCAGTCAGTCTTGGAGGATGTGGCACCTTGTCAGGAGGAAGGCTAGAGCAATTGAATCATGGAGGATAAGTAGGGATATTTTTCTCAAATAATTTAAAAGAAATAAATCCAGAGGCTTTTCTGACAAAAGAAGCCCTGCCTACCCCCAGACAGCAATACTGCCCAGAGGATTTGCAACCCTTAGGACAGTAAATCACTCTTCACTCAAGGAGAGGAGGTGTGGGGGAAGGAGGATATTTAATGAAGAAATATCATGTGTACAGGTCTTGAGAATAATTCTGAACCACAGCGAATTTCACAATGGAAAGTTTGGGGATGAGCGGAGCCGGTCGGTGCTGGAGCTCCCTCTGCTGCCTTCCAGGACACAATCCACTGTACTGCTCGTGCAGAATTCCATGCAAACTGTTGAAATACAGTGGGTTTAGGAGGGTTTTAACAAAGCATTTTCAAACATACATTATTAAGATTCCCAGCAGCTGGACAGGTGGCCTCAGTGCTGACAGGAGGGAATGTGGGTTTATCAATTTACTGCTGCAACTGGAATAACAAACAGGTTTCATTCTCCTGCAAGTCATCCCTGCTGCAGTCACGAGCCATTTGTGCATGAATGGGAAAGTTTCAGTAGGACTCAAATCTAATCCAGTTGCCAGTTTTAATTCCTTTTTTAGCTGCTGTTATTCTTATAGGATACAGTTGGTTTGGACTGAGATTCCATGACTCACCCTGCACTGTTTGGCTCTGGCTCTGTAGGACCTTCTTCTGGACCAGTTAACAAGGAGAGTCCACCAGCTCCAGGAACAAATTGCTCTGTTTGAAGCTCAGCTTGTGGCCCAGGCAGAGGACACAAAAGTGACCCGGCAGGCAGTCAGTGAGGTAGGAGGGGACTTGTCCCTTGTGGTTAATATTTCCCTCTGGCAGGGCTGACCCCTTTGGCCTGTGCTCACGTGGTGTGCACAATGTGGGACAGAGTTTCACAGTTTGTTCCTGTTTGGAAGAATGAGGACTTTTTTTTCTTTTCCTTTGTCCTTAAGAAGTGCCTGTAAATCACTTCCTCCTGCCCTTCTCAGCAGTTTTTTCTTGCAGACCTGTGCTCTGTGGGCTGCTGAGAAATGAACCAGCCACGGAGTTGAAGCTGATCCTGCTCACACAAGAAGAGAAAAAAAATTGTATTGTAACAGGAATTTGTTTTTTCAACACAGTGTAGATTCATCCTGTCTGCCATCTCTCTGTTCCCCAGGCTGCTCTGGAGGTCCAGACTATTAACATGGAGAAAAAGAGGCTGATGGACCACTGGAACAGCAGCTTGGCTGGAATGAAGCAGAGGGACGAGGCCTATGTTGTCACTCAGGAGCTGCTGAGGTATGGTCTGAAAGCAGACCTGGAGGACACCTCAGATTTGGGCAGGAGGGATTCCAGAAGGGGATTCCAGTGTGTCTCCTGGGGGGTTTAGCACGGTGTGGGCAGGGTGTGGCAGGCAGAACAAGTTTCCTGCTCTAAAGTGCATAATGAATTTAAAGGATAAGAAGCACATTTCTTTGTTGCTGTTTTCTTTAACCTAACCACATCTCCTCCTCGGAATGTGGGGGGTTCTTGAAGCTGTTTAGAGTTTTTGTGATTGCATTTTATTCCTTTAAAAGTGTTCCATCACCTCTGCAATGTCTCTTACTCCAAAGAGCTGGATGTCAGGAAGGGTTTATCTCTCATTATCAGGGTTTTGTGAGGCCTTTGGAAATGTTCAGGAAAACCTCCCTGTTACTGGCAGAGGAAGTGTTTATTTGCTCAGGAGCCTTAAAGCTTGACTGATTCTCTTTTACATGGTGACATCCTGGTCAGAATGGGGCTGGGACAGTACTGAAAGAAGGAATCAATTTTCCTACACACATTTACTTTTAAATCTTAATGTCTCCATCCATCTCCTGCTGACTCTGCACTGTCACAGCAGTTGAGCCCTTGCAAACATCTTTCTTTTTGGGCAGTTGTTGCTGCAATAACGTGTTTGAAAAGAGGAGTTTGTGGGTGGCTGTTCAGCACCAATCCCTGTGATGACTTTCCACCCTCTTTGCCCCTCCAGCAACTACAGACGTGACCTCAAGTCCATAGAAGGGGACATCCATGGCTGTGGGAAGTCCATCAGGAAAGAGGAGGAGAAGAATGAGAACCTTGTCAGCCTCCTGAACCGGTCCCAGAATGATGCCAGCGTGACAAGGAAACTGATTGCCCAGTGCCTGCTGGAGCAGGAGGCCCTGCAGGTTCAGACTGGCACCTACACTCGTATTCTCCATGAGACAGAGCAGGCCCTCAGCAGGACCAAGATGGTGAGGAGAGTGCATGGAAGAGCAATCCTTTTGAATACATGGATTGAAAACCCTTCCTCAAACAGTTGTAGTGATCCTGTCTCTGTCTTCCAACCTTTTAGGACCAGGCTGCTCACCTGAATGAGTTGCTGTCCATCAGGAAGGGTATAGAGAAAGGAACTTATGACAAAGAGCAGCTAGAGAGTGAAATCATGGCAAAGCTTCAGGACCAGATGATATCCAGCAAAGCTGCAAAGCACTTCTCCCAGCTGGCTGAAAAACTGCGGAACAGAAAAAGTGACCTGGTACGGCATCCCCACCTTGGGAGGGCAGGGAAAGAGCTGCTGCAGCAGTGGGTCCCCAGCAGGGTTTGTCAGTGACTTTGTTCTGGTTTCAGGTCTGCACTGAAGCTCTGCTGAGTTTGCCTCTCCTATCTGGTTCTCCCTGTGATCTTATTGCAGGAATCTGGTGTGTGAGAGAGAGCTCGGCCAAAAAGGCCTGACACAAAACACCCTGTCCTTTACTTTAAAAATGGGAGTATTTCCCATAAAGTACCAGCATTTCTTATGTACTCAAGTTTTTCAAGTTATGAAAAACTGTGGACATGTGGTACTTCTGTAATCTAATTTTAACTAATTTTTATTTCTATAATTCATCACAGAATGGCATGCAGGCAGCTGTCAGTTCTGAGGAACATCCAAGGAACGGTCCAGCCTGACCCACAGCTCTTTAATCCATGATAAGTTGCTCTCTCTGGGAGTGTATAACTGGATCCCTTAGAAAGATTAGAAAACTCAGCACTCACACTGAGTGCTGTGCTGGCTGTTGGGTGAGGGCTGTGCGTGCCAGCTGTGCTGGAGAAGGGACAATACAGAGATGTCCTGGTACTGGTGGCAGGTAGCTGCAGACAGCTGGGCTAGGGGTCATTGCAGAAGGGATGTGTGAGGTCTCTTAAAGGTTTTTGCAATGTTTAGGCTCCTTAATGCTTTTCAACAGCTGTTTGGGAGAGGTAGATATTGTATTGCCTGTCAATTGATGGAGAAGCAAAGATACACAGAGGGTAAGTAGCTCATGGCTCACAGTACAGACCTGGGAGGAGAACCTCAATCCCCTGGCTCCTGTGCTGGGACAGGTGACATTGCAACTCAACAAGGAGCTGTTGGGGACAGTGATGTGTTTTCTCTCTTGATTTTCCCAGGAGCTGCATTTTTACAAGGTTGAGAACGATGTGGCCCAGATTATTCTGAACGCAACTAATACCAGCTGCAGGCTGACAGTTCACCAAAAAACACTCTGTGAGGTGGACAAGGAAATAAAAAACATGAATGAACTGATCGCCTGCCAGGAAAATGAGATTGCAAAGTCCAGGCTCCAGGCTGACAAGAAGGGAGGGATCATCTGCCTGTACAACAAGAAGCTGGAGATGCTTCTTGCTCAGCAGGGGGTAGGTACCTTTGTGTTTCAGTCCCAATTTTGATTTTATTCTTTGTGGTGGCCACAGATGCCCCTGATCAATGTCACTCTGTTGTTGGGTAGTTCAAACTTTTTCAAAGTTGCATTGGTTAATGCAGGTGTTTATGTTTATCAGTTCAATAATGCAGTGAAGGGAATTGTGAAATGAGGGTGTGCCTGGCACAGATCCCTGCAGGGACTTGCCTGTACCTGATGAAAATGCCAAATGGCTTCAGTGAGTAAACAGGATCTTGTTGGAAAAATCTGCAAACACTGAGGGGAGAATGGGGCAGGCAGTGAGGTTTCAGTCGTTTGAGGGTTGGCCCTATTGGCATGACCCCCAAATCTGTCCCGGGCACTGTAAGACCCTATGGATACCCAAAGGGAAATGAATCCTATGACACATCCTCTGCAAACTTTGGAGAGTCCAGTAAACAACTCGGGCAGCTTCCACCTGATTTATCCCAAACTTTGCTCTTGTACAGGGGCAAGAACTGGGACCACTGGAAATTGAGATCAACCAGCTGAACAAGCAGCTGGAGGAATGCAACTCGGAGGCGATGACGTTGCAGAAGTACTGGCTCAATGAGCAGAAGGAGCTGGTCAGGCTGACACGGGAGCGGGAGGAACAGATCACCTCGCTGGACACGCTGCAGAAGAGGATCATCATCATGCAGCAGAGGAAACTGCGCGTTGAAAGTTCGTCATTCCCTGACTCGTCCTTCAAATGTTCACTGTGAAGGGAGGGAGAGAGGAGTGGAGGGTTACAGATGGGAAAAGCTGGACTGCCCCCAAGAGTGCTCCTGGCTGTGTGTGAGCAGGAATAGCAACAGCTCAGGCACTCCTGCTGACTGCACGTTGTTATTCCTGTAAGGACTGACCCTACTGTCCTGACAGTCGGCCCCTAAGTGACAATGCCACCTGTTACACTTGTCAAATAAAGTTTGCAAGTAGTGGGTAGGTAAATGTCCCTAGAAGTGACTGTGCTTTCATTGGCCAAACCCAACTTTTTTCCACAGGAGTCTCCCTCTAAAGCTTTATTTGGTTTTTGAGCTTGTGGAAAATCATTTTGGCTGGACTTGTGGGACACGGGTGGCTCTGCCTGAGGTGTTGCCAGCTCTGATAACTGTTTGTCACACCTTGTCTGTGTGCAACCCAGTGCTCAGGGCAATTCTAAGACTTTTTCCTGTTCACTCATAGATGAAATTCTGCAGGAAATAAAAGAACAGAAGGACGTGGAACGGCACATGAAGAACATGTCAAATGACCTGATAAAGTTGAACATGTTGATCAACAAGAACAAGAGCAGCGTTGAGGAGCTGAAAAATGGCAAAATTGTCACAGAGAACGAGTTTGTGCAGTCTCTCAAGGTACTGAGGCACCTGGCACCTCATTCCCAGGTCCCAGCCTCCTGTGCAGATCAGAGGCAAACAGTGATCCTGGAAAACCTCAGCCTGACAACACTATTGTTTTGTTCTTCAAATCTAGGCAGCAGAAAGAGAATCTGTGGAGATGCAGGAGAGGCACAGCCAACTGACTGAGGAGAAGGAAAGGCTCCTGAACAGCCTGGTAGAAGCAGAGTAGGTACCAGAGTGCCACAGTCCTGTGTGACTGTCCATGTTCCCATTCACCTCCAGTCACCAAACCTGGCACCAGCAAATGTGCTTCTAGCCTTCCTGGAGAAGGGGAGGAATGTTTGAAACACAAAAACTGAAGGGTGTTTCAGCAGTCTCTGGAAGAGCAGGGGCTGGAAGCACGTTGGCTTTAACAGTTCCAGCATGTGTGAGCTGGACATTGCCAAGATCCACACGGGAAGACTCTGCCAGTGACTGGCAGTGAGTGTGCTGCACTGGGCAGGTAACCCAGGAGTTGGGGGGTCCAGCTTTCTCTGTCCTTCCCCTTCTCTGAAGGCATCAGATCCTGCTGTGGGAGAAGAAGATGCAGCTGGCAAAAGAGATGCGGGAAGCAACAGATGCTCTGTTAGAACACGGCGAAATCCATGACATGAAAACAGAGATTCGGAGGATGCAAGTAAGGCACTGGGAGAGAGGGCTGAGGAGGGGAAGCCACCCAGTGTACTCAGCCTTGGGAGTGGCTGGAACATGAGGCAGGAGATGAGAAACAAGCTGGAGAAGTGGCATCTTCAGAGCTCAGGGTGGGACTCTAAACTCCCCCCGCAGCTTGACTGAACTGAGCACATCCAGCCCACACATCCCGCATTCCCCGTGCCAGCCTCAGCAGAATCTGGATACTCCCAAGAAATCTATTTAAATTGCAGTATGTCTGCCACCTGATTCTGTGACCCTGATTTATATGCAATGTTGATTACTAAATATTGCATCACTTTAATCACTGCTTTAGGGAAGCGTTCCCTCTCCTGGCAGAGCAGCATGTCCCCTTCATGCTCAGGATGCTTCTGCTTTTCTGTTTCTGTTCTTGCTAATGAGGTTCAGACTAACATTTTGAATAGCAGACAGGTGGATAACCCAAGCCTCTGCCTTCCAGATCCACACACAGCACACCAGGTCTGGACCAAACCTGGCTTGCAGACATTCATGTCACCCATAGCTGATTAATGCTGGTGGGATGTGCTACCTGGACATCTTCCCTCGGTGCTGTTGGTAAACATTTGGTATTTTGAGGCTGGTTTGTGTCTGGTTTGTGGCAGGTGCGCCACGAGCAGCTGCAGAAGCAGCAGGAGACGTTGATTCGGGCGATGGAGGCGTGTGTTTCTCAGAGAGAGACAATAACGAATCGGGCAGAGGCTCAGAGCAAATTAGATAAGAAACACAGCACCAAGAGCGACTTCCAAAGCAGGAAACAGGAGCTGAAGAAGAGGATCAGGGAAACCCAGGAGGTGAGCAAGGAAAGTGGGGCTGCAGGAGCTCACACAGGCTGGCCTTGTGGTGAGCAGCAGTGAGCACAGCAGTGTCCATGCACAGATCCCGCACTGGCACAGGGGCAGGCTTTGAAAACATTCATTGAAAATCCCCCAAAACCGGGTTCTGAGAGGATGCTCAGGAATGCAGCTGAACTAGAGAACTGAAATCTTCCATTTCCTTCTCTTCCATTTACTAGAACATTTATGAATGCAACCAAACCATGCAGGAACTGGAGGACATCCAAGAGTCTCTCAGTGCCAGCTTTTCAGAAAAGAAGGAAGAATTGTCCCAGCTCCAGGATGAGACCAACAGCCTCAGCTTGGACATGGAAAGTCTTCAGAACGAGAAACGATGGGTGAGCACATCCACTCCTTTCCAGCATGTGAGCCAGACACAGCCTGCTGCTTCCTGTGCTGCCAGCTGTCTCAGCACCGTGCTGAACTGGGTGTGCTCAGTGTGGTGTTACAGCAGCACTAACTCATCATGCTCTGGGGGCTCACCAAGAGCCAGCTTGACATATTGAAACCCTGTCCTGGCAAGGGTGGCCTTACATATGTGCGAATTTCTCTGATTTATGAATTCTGTGATGTCTGTACCCCTCCAACACCCGGGCTGGGGGTGCTGTTTGGCTGTTACAGTGGGGAATTCACAGCCCTGTCCTTCCCTTGTCCACAGTGATGGTCACAGCACCCGACACGAGTCCCACCCATGCTTTTCCTGCTGTCACAGCCCCTTCTCTTTCTGCTTTTCTCAGAACCTGTTGGAACTTGTGGCACACCAGGCACACCAGAAGCAGCTGCAGGCACTGAGGCAAGGGAAGTACAAGGCCCTGTGCCACACTGAAGAGGCCTGCATGAACCAGCAGGAGAAACTGCAGGATCGACTGCAGACCATTAACAGCATCGTGCAGGAGATCTGTGAGGAACAGCCCCGGCACCAAAGGGCTCTGCAGTGGCTCAGTCACTGCTTGCGATCCAAGCTCAGGTTGGGGAAAGCCTGACAGAAACACAGAAAATACACAGATCTGTTTCATATTCTTCCACAGGCTCAGACTTTGTAAATAAATAAAAATAATAAGTAAATGAATAAAATAAATAAAGCATGTGCAGGGTATAATATTTACTTTGCCGGGTATAATGTTTATTTAAGAGGTACCATTGTCATTCCATCGGTACGTTTCTGTTTACGTTTCACTTTCGCTGCCCGAAGCCTCTCCTGGATCCCGCCTCCCCGCCCCGCCCCGGGCCCGCTGCAGCGCCGATTTCCCGGGGCCGGGGCCGGTTCTGCCCCGAGCTCCGGCACAGCGGGGCCGGTGTCGGTCCCGGTTCCGGCCCGAGCTCCGGCACAGCGGGGCCGGTGTCGGGAGGCTCCGGTGTCGGGAGGCTCCGGTGTCGGGAGGCTCCGGCCGGGCCATGGGGCCGGGCCCGGCGCTGCTGGCGCTGCTGGCGCTGCTGGGCCCGGCCGAGGCGCGGGGCGCGGCCGCTGCCGCCTGTGAGGTGGCCCCGAGCGGCCGCTTCGACTGCGGCCCCGAGCGGCTCCTGTCGCGGGCGGGCTGCGAGGCTCGGGGCTGCTGCTACATCCCCGGGCCCGGGCCCCGCAGCGGCCCCGGCCCGCCCTGGTGCTTCTTCCCCCGCGGCTACCGCAGCTACCGCGCCGAGAACCTGACGGCCACCGAGAGCGGCTTCTCCGCCCGGCTGCGCCGCGTGGCCGCCGCTTTCCTGCCGGCAGCGGTGGACGATGTTCGGCTGGAGCTGGCGCTGGAGACCCCGGCCCGCCTGCGCTTCACGGTGCGGCCCGGTCCCCGCGGATCGGCCCGGGTGCCCCGTACCCCCGCTGAGCCCTCTCCGCCCGCAGCTCCGGGACGCGGCCCGGCAGCGCTACGAGGTGCCCCTGGCCACGCCGCGGGTGCGCGGCCGAGCCCCCGCCACGCTCTACGGGCTGCGGGTCAGCCAGGAGCCCTTCGGCCTCGTGGTGTGCCGGCAGCGCGGCGGGACGGTGCTGTGAGTGCCCCTCTGCCCCGCTCCCTTCCCGAGCCGTTCCCCCGGGGAGCCCGCACGGTGCCCGGCTGGGTGCAGAGACACCGGTGACAGCACCGGGGCGGCTGGCGGTGCCTCTGGGGGCTTCGCTTGGACTCCCTCTGCGGTTCGGTGGCTGTGCAAGGGAACCAGGAATGAACCGGGAATCCCAGAGCTCAGCCGATACTTGTTTTTACTTCACGTGGTGATGAGCATCCGCATCCCTGCCCGGCACCGGCGGCCGCAGCTCGGTGCCTCCCTCCCGGCTGTTCCGCAGTTTCCCTTTCCCTCCGCAGGCTGAACACCACGGTCGCACCCCTGTTCTTCACAGACCAGTTCCTGCAGATCTCCACCTCCCTGCCCTCCCGTTTCATTTCGGGGCTGGGGGAGCACCTGACACCGCTGTTCCTTGACACAGCCTGGACCAGGGTCACCCTCTGGAATCGGGACATGGCACCCGCGGTACGGAGCGGGGCTGAGGGAAAGGGACACAGATGTGCTCCTGGGGCTGGTCCTGCAGCCTCTCTCGTCTTGTCTGGGGCTGGGGAGATGTGTCTGTGCTGCTTCAGCTCTGAGTCCTGGCAAGCCCATGGGACCCTTGTCCCCAGAGCCAGGTTTGTCCCCAGAGCCAGGTTTGTCCCCAGAGCCAGGTTTGTCCCCCCCGGAGCTCTGTGCTGCTTGGGAGCTGTTTCCAGGGCTCTGGCTCAGGGCAGAGCTCTGCTGACTTGGCAGAGTTTGGGAGCACAAGCCCTGGGTTTGCACCTGAAGCCGGTGCTCCTGACTGGAGGTGAGGGGCGGTCAGGTGGGCGTGGGGGTCTCCAGCAGAGCCTCACTGGCACCGTGCTCTGCTCCAGCCCCACGTTAACCTCTATGGCTCCCACCCTTTCTACCTGGTGATGGAGGACGATGGTTCAGCCCACGGTGTCTTTCTGCTGAACAGCAACGCGATGGGTGAGTCCCGTGGAGGCTCCGGGCGTGGGCCTGGCCGTGTCCCCATCCTCAGCTCCCTCCCCTGGCACTTGTGCTTCCCCAGACGTGCTCCTGCAGCCCAGCCCGGCCCTGACCTGGCGCACCACAGGTGGGATCCTGGACTTCTACATCTTCCTGGGCCCCGACCCCAAGAGCGTGGTGCGGCAGTACCTGGATGTGGTTGGTACGGCTGAGCCCCGTGTGCTGCCAGGGTGGCT